GTGCCTTATCAACTGTGTTGACTTGTTTCCAGTTACTTAATGTACCTGAAAGGAGTAAAACTGTGTTTCTTTCAAAATACTTTAAAGTCTGTACTTTAAAGTCTGTTAATTCACAATGACTCATTTCCTCCAATTTTAATCTTTCCTTCTATATATAATGCAGTGGTGTGTTTCTAAGGTTTTAAAAAAATTTTGTAAAAGTAATTCTGAAGGGATAGGGAGTTAATGGCTACAGAGAAAATTCTTGAAAGAATTCCAGTAATAAAGTTTTTTTTAAGGACTATGCTATATAGTTAAAAAACCTAAATATCACTAAATAAACAAATCCAGCTTCTGATTTTTATCTTATTTCAGCTCAAGAGTGATGACTTTTCTTATCATATTCAGTACTGTTTATTTGCATTATCTAGTGTTGCCAGAGCAGTGTCAAAAAATATTTTGCTGTTTGTGGTCATCCCTGTCTTGGTTCTAACTTTAACAGCAAAGTATTTTACAATTAAGAGCCATGTGGGTTTTTTTTTTTTTTTTTGCTGAGGAAGCTTCACCCTCAGCTAACATCTCTGCCAGTCTTCCTCTATTTTGTATGTGGGTTGCTGCCACAGCATGGCTGCCAACAAGTGGTGTAGGTCTGTGCCTGGGAACCGATCCCAGGCCACTGAAGCAGAGCATGCCGAACTTAACCAGTAGGCCATGGGACGGGCCTGAAGCACCGTGTGGTTTTTAGTTTGAGTATGCTACTTCTTAATTTGATGCTTCAATTTTTTTCCTTGATGTTTTTTTCTTTAATAATTGAGAATTAATTAATTTCTTGATTCTACTGTTGAAGGCTAACCTGAAGCAAATTGTTTCCAAGCCCTAATTCATTAAAATAGAGAGGCAGTTTCCTCAAAGACTGTGTTACTGAAGATTCATTATAAGTTAAGAAAACTGAAAAGGATTTCCTTTTTAGCATAGGCTCAAATGCTAGTCTAAGAAGTCTTATAGGTACGATAAATGGATGTGGGCATGGTGGATGAAACCTAATTGTCTTCCACTCGTTTCTTTTAACCACTTTATAGCAATGATTCTTAAACTTGTTTGTGTGTCAGAATCTCCTTGAAGCCTTGTTAAAGCAAATTGTAGGACTCTACACTCAGAGTTTCTGATTCAGTAAGTCTAGTGTGGGGCCTGGTAATGCTGATACTGCTGGTCCTACGCTTTGAGAACCACTGCTTTGTAATAAGTTTACCCTGATAATTATAGAATGAATTTTTCATTTCAGTTGCATCAGTCAATAGAAGATTGCTTAAATATAGTACAGTGTATAGTGGGTAACACACTACTTTAAGACTAGAGAAACTCGTTTCTGGATCACTACTTACCAGCTGTCTGACCTTAAAGCCATTATTTAATCTAATCCATAGTTTCCTTATCTGTAAAATGAGGAATTGTCCCTTGAGGATAAAATTAGATAATGTGTGGAAAAATGTTTTACACTCTATATTGCTGCACAAATATAAAGTAGTATTGCATAGTACTTAAAATTTTTAGCTTGTTTTAAAATACTGTGGCTTATAATATTGTTACTTTCAGTATTTTGATAAATACTTATTCTCTGTACCTCGCCCCGTTGCCCCTTGTCCCTTTTTTTTTTTTTTTTTTTTTTTTGAGGAAGATCAGCCCTCAGCTAATATCCGTGCTAATCCTCCTCTTTTTGCTGAGGAAGACCGGCTCTGAGCTAACATCTGTTGCCAATCCTCCTCCTTTTTTTCCCCCAAAGCCCCAGTAGATAGATATATGTCATGGTTGCACATCCTTCTAGTTGCTGTATGTGGGATGCGGCCTCAGCATGGCCGGAGAAGCGGTGCGTCGCTGTGCGCCCGGGATCCGAACCTGGGCCGCCAGTAGCGGAGCGCGCGCACTTAACCGCTAAGCCACAGGGCCGGCCCCCCTTGTCCTTTTAATCTTGATTACTTTTTAGTGAGAGTGTCTTTCAATTTAAGTGGCCTTGAATGGCTTTGAAAGGAAATATATTAAAATGAACATAGGCATCTTCATGGGACTGTAAAAATATAAGCATTTTGCAGGACCGTAAAGATAACTATGCAAGCTGAAAACATGTAAGCTATGTTAATAATCAGTGGGAAAAATTGTCATTGTTTTGTGTCCTTTAAAGCTTTGTCAGAACATTAAAAACTCTTTTACTGTGGGTTGTAGATGTATAGAGAAGTGAAAAAATAGTAAAACTCCTATTTAGTACAAGGTAATTTGAAACATTAGAAACATTGAGAGTTAAACTGTTTTATTTCTTTGTAAAAAAAAAAAAAAAACTTACCAAATCAGTTTGAACAGTGCTTGCCTTGTATAACTTACAATATGGAGATAGATAGATAGATAGATAGATAGATAGATAGATAGTATTACAGTACCATCTGAATTACCAGAGAAACATTACATTCAGTATGGCTTGTGTTGAGTGTGTTTTATTAGATTGTTTAAATATGGTCATTTAAAAAATAATGGAATCATAGACTAAAATGGTAATGTTTTAGAGCAAAGATCAGCAAACTTTTTCTGTAAAGGGCTTTGCCAGCCAAGAAGAAAAATCAGAGATATTATGTAAATACTTACATACCAAGAGAAAACAAGTTTACACAAATTTTTTATTGATGAAATTCTAAATAATAATAATTGAGTATAAATTTTGTAATCCTGGTCTACTAATGAGAAGAATGGGATTCTTTTAGCAGGGATAACATTACTCTTCATTGGGCTTCAGAGTTATTGTTCCCTGTCATCAAATTGATTGGAAATGTTCAGCTGTAGAAACCATTCTTAAACTCATGGGCTGTACAAAAACAGGTGATGAGCTGGCTTTGGCATGTGAGCCGTAGTTGTTGACCCATGTTTTAGAATATAAGGGACCTTTGCAATCTACTTTTAAAATATAAGGGACCTTTGCACTATACCCTGTACTGTATTTTTAAAAGTGGCCCCTGTACTGTATTTTTTTTTTTTTGGTGAGGAAGATCAGCCCTGAGCTAACATCCATGCTAATCCTCCTCTTTTTGCTGAGGAAGACCGGCCCTGAGCTGACATCTATTGCCAATCCTCCTCCCTTTTTTTTTCCCCCAAAGCCCCAGTAGATAGTTATATGTCATAGTTGCACATCCTTCTAGTTGCTGTATGTGGGATGCGGCCTCAGCATGGCCGTAGAAGCGGCGCCTTGGTGCGCGCCTGGGATCCGAACCCAGGCCGCCAGTAGCGGAGCACGCGCACTTAACCGCTAAGCCACTGGGCTGGCCCCCCTGTACTGTATTTTTAAAAGTGGTTTAAATTATTTTTAATTATATATGTTGATAACTGTGCAATTTTAGTAGCCAAAATGCAGATCTTAAATATCAGACATTGTGAACTTTTATTAAGTAGTATTTTAAATACCTGCAGTTAATATCTTTACACTGTTCCCCTTCCACTCCTACCACTGGTAAAATGGAAAGAGCTTTGGTGCACAGAGAACTAGACTGAAATACCAAACATCAAGTGCCTGGCACAGGCACAGAGTAGGTAACGAATAAATTGTGTAGCTATGACAAAGTGATTTGACAGAGTCACTTTATGAAGGGCTTAATGGAGTCTCTGGTACATGGAAGGTGCAATGTGCGATAGTTTTTAATAATTATTATTAAATTTATAGGCTAATAGTTGTTTATAATACCCAAATGTAACACATTGTGCTCACTGTGCATAGATACATCTATATAGTAGAGTGGTTAAAACACCAGGATCTGGAGTTAGATTACCTAGTTTTGAAACCTGATGAGCCACACACCCAAACCATGCTGCCCTTGGGCAAATTAGTCAATCTTTCTCTGCCTCAATTTCCTAACCTTTAAAATAAAGATATGATGGTACAGACCTCAGAGGCTTAAATATGTTAGTATATATAAAGTGTAATAGTTCATGTAAGGTTAGTACATGTAAAATGTAATAGTGCTTGGCACATAGTAAGTTCTCCACAACTGTTGCCTGCAGTAGTAATTATTAATGCTATATTAGAATACTTCCCAAGTTTAAACAGGTTTAATCAATTAACCAGATTCTCCAATCTATCAATTAAATTTAAGGCTCTTCTATTACAGGTAGGATTTATCTAATTTACCTCATCTGTTATAGGTATAAACAGTGAAAGAGAAAATTTTAATTAAATTGGGCATGTGTATTTTATAATGCCTTGTATAGTCATAAATAGAAAAATTGGTTAAATATCAGCACACATAGTCAAGAAATTATAGTCCTGGCCTGATAATCTCCTTGAGATAGTCACAAGAGTGGTGTATTTATTTTACTTTTTAGT